TTACATAGCGAATTCGCAATAGAGATGTTTTTTCATCCAATAATGACTACCAAATGTCTTTAGGGATGTATAAAATACAAAAATTACATTTAATTTCAAGTTCTCGGATGATTTCAAATATTAATACTTACAAAATTAATGTCAGTTTAATTTGTGAATTATTTAGATGTTTGAAAATTCGCTATAAAAGATATAAATTTCGTTATTATTACTATTATTATTATTTTGCTATAAAAGATTTAAAGGATGATTGCACTTGACGCCGATTTTGGGGTCTTTTTCGGTCGCTTCTGTTGCTTTTATATCTGATTTCACTTTTGTATATTTATTCAAGAATCCTGTCAATTTGGAAATTTAAATCAAATTTAAATGTTAAAATGATTTTAGACTGTAAAACAATAAGATAATTCTATGCTTGCTTTCAAATATGGAGAATTTACACTTACCTGCCCTTGATTGAATATTGTGTATGCATGAGAGGTGGAGTTAACATTGCAAGAATGGTCTAATATTAGACTAGACAAATAACAATGACATATACTGTATATACTCGCCTATAAGTCGGTTTTTTGGGAGTTAAATTTTGGTCCAAAACTATGTCCTACTTATAGGCGAGTCATAAAATATTGGCATTATTTTGAAAGGCAACATGTAGTATTTTATAAACGTGTCCGACGATTATCGTTGAATAAAGTCTGGATATATTATATCATTTTTGCATTCTAAGGTTATGCATGAAGTACAAGTATTTATATATTTCAATAATTTTATTTTTATCTTGTGTGCATTACTTTTTTTTATGATTTAAAATTAAATATTGGCATCATTTATAAAAAAAAAAATTAATTAAACCAGGTTAAATCATTATCAAAACATTGATTTGAAATTGTCAGCCGGTTCTTGCAAAAAGTTGTACTGACTTATATGTAGGTCAATGGCAAATCCCTCCAAAATAACCTCAAAAATTACAACCGACTTATAGACGGACCTTTGCGAGGAGCGCTGACTTTTACAGTTGACGGCTTACTTTTACACTAGGACAATGTACGGAAGCTCTTCTACGATATAAATATTTAGGTCAACATTTAATTAAACGAAAATAACGGGTTATTTCAAAACACAAATAAATTGCCCTTGAAGAAAACGACAATCACCCTACCCTTAACTTCCGGCCTTCACATGTTAGTGCCCCTAACACCATACCCATGACCACTAGAAATATTTCCCCATCTATTATCAATTCTGTACCTCCATACATGATACAGGTTTAAATATCAAAGTAAACAGTCAACTGTAAAAGCAGTGCTTCTCGCAAAAGTCCTATGGGCGGACCGACTTGCAGGCGAATATATACGGTATTTAAAAAACGTGATCACTCTTTCCCTCTCTATTCCCTCTCTATTTTGTATGGCAAAGGTTTCAAAACGAAATTAACAATATGAGCACGTCCATGTGAGTAACGAAGATATTAAATCAATGCAAGTCAATCTCTAGTGTTCGAACACAATGTCATAGTTAACAAAACATGCCACCTTACAAGTCACGTGACGGAATTTAGTATTCACAGAGTTACCTGTGGTAAAAAATCACTTGCTGAATTATAATATTTAACATGTTTTTCTATTAATCTCTTTTTGACACAGCATTAGTAATGCAAATATACTGTCACGTTGATTTTCTCGTCTAAACGTGAACTTGTACAATATATTTTAATGTGGGGAATTACTCGCTTGGTGGGGGATAAGGATATCTTTATTCCGTATTTGGATTGCTCTACTCGTGGGCAACTTCCAGGTTTGGCTTGGCCTCTACGGTGGCTGTAAATATGCAAAGAATAAAGAAATAATATATTTTATTTACGAAGTTTATTTATTGAAGTCGTCGATAGAAGTGTTAATAATTTTATAAACAAACAGTCACCAGTTACAAAAATAATTCGAAATATTAAAAAGAATACGTTTTAAAGTTAAACACGGTGACTGTACAGACTGTTTCCCTCTGTGAAATGAAAATCTAAAACAACATAGATACTAAATAGTCATAACACCAAATTTTCTATTTTAATAAAAATTTGTGGGAAGACAATACAAACACTGATAAACGAAGAGCAATAGACAAACATGCGCTGACTATGTATGAAGTCAGTAAGAAAGTGGGGGTCCTCATTATCGTACTGAGATTCAATAAATTATAATGGCCCCGCTTTTGCAAATTGATTCATACTTCGTAAATAAATACTTTTATGTAATGTTATAACGTAAAGTTGTAGATTGGATGTCGAGCATTCCTGCAATTAAAAGAAAAATGTTTGTTTTTAAAGTTTATTTTAGAGCAAATTTCCTATGTCCTTACGTACAGTCGTCATTTCATTATTTTTTACTACTAGAGGACACAAAGTCAGTTCGCTATAACCGTAAATTGGCTATATCTGAGTTAGTTATATCCATACAATTTTACAAGGAATTGTTAAGAATTTCACCAGGGATTGCAAAAAACTTCGCTATGTCCGTGTTCGTACTAAACGAGTTTTAATGTATACTAATTTTCCAATGACGTTTAAAATTGAGATGTGTTACATGAGATTTCTTCCTTATAATATTTCCAGTTCTGCAAAGGAAGTAATATTTTTTTTAATTTTATTTTTCTTCTCCTGAATTTTGAGTAGCAGAGACAGATATGAGGAAGATTTTTTCACTTCTGGAGTACATGTAGCCTACTTTTTTGTTTATTTTGAAAAGCTAAGTTTTTGTAATTGTATCAGGGAGAATAACTCATACAAACATCAATGCTAGGAGAAAAGTAAATATATCCTGAGATTTTCTTAGTTTTTGTGAATTTATACCATGTACAGTTGAGAAGGAGAAACTAGATTTTCTTTAAAAGGAATACTTTCTTTAATTCGTGAAACATGTAAGCTACACGGTCGTCTCCAGTGCACTTTTTAATATTAAATGAGAAAAACTTTTTAACTTGAATAGCCTAATTCATTATTTTTGACAAGTTTATTTAAATAATTGATATAATCCTTCAATGCATACTATTTCAGTGTATGTGTTTATATAACTGTTCTAGAGAAAGTTATTTTTTTAAGTACTTAAATCTTATTTTACCTTCAATCATGCCAAAGTATGCAAAATTATTATGTATGTCTTATTAGTTAAATGCTCCACAAATTTGCATGGAATATGAAGATAGCGGACAGTAATCAAGCTCAAAAGTCCATTGAAGCAATACAAATTTGGAGCAGAGCAAAGACGGACCTCTAAAAATATCAGAGGTGAGATCAGATACCATGGAGGAGTAAGCATCCCTTGTCGCAAGAGCATGCTCTACGTACGAACAATTTTTAAAACGAGGCAAGATTTTGACAAATAAGTTGATGAAACAAAATGCCAACAGTCTCGTTTAAAGTCGTCATTTCGCAAGTTCTCTATAGTGGATACAATGACCTTGTCAGCAAATATAATCTATCATTAAGTCGAATGGTGACCGAGGTTTTTCATACTAATTGTTAGGCCATTATTTAAACACTGAATTGTCTGTGGATTTCTCCGTTTGCCTGATCATGACACGCATGATTGAGCACACGGTGGGTGTGACCGGTCGACAGGGGATGCTTACTCCTCAGTGGCACCTGATCCCACCTCTGATGTTTTTTAGAGGTCCGTGTTTGCTTTGCTCCCGATTTGTATTGTTTTAGTGGTCTTTTGAGCTTGATTACTGTACGTTATATCTCCATATTTCATTCCAATTAAACGCAGCTTCTTTTGCAAAGTACACACTTCATGCTTTCATTCATGCAAGATTATTCAACGCACAACTATTTATAAACTAAGGAGTTGTACTGTCCTTAAGGTGCTTATTTGATGTTTAATCAGGGACATCTTGGTTTCATGCAGTATTCTAAGCATAACTACTTATATGCATCTAATTACATAACATGTATTTTTTAAGATAGGGATTAAGGACCCTCTATACGCTTGTGCCAAATGTTTTTGGACATTGAGAAAAATGCCCTGTTCACACAGAGAATTTAATTCGAATTAAACATAAATTAAACATTCAAAACGTTTTTTGTACATCTGTAACCTAAACCCAGTTAATCCATATACGTAACAAAACAAAATTCTTTCATCTTATAAACATAATTTAAATAGCAAATAGTCACAAGGTACCGTGTCCTTTTGGACTCTGTCAAAGCCTTGTGACGGGTGAAATTTCCAAGCCCTTATTACATTTTTACATGTATATTATATCACAATTCATATGAACAATTTTTATTTGCAACCACAGAAAGGTGTTCCTGTATTCAGTTTAAAACACACTGTTTATTTACATATATCAAAAATAAGGCGGACCCTTCGTCAAAATAAAATTTACTCACATCTACATGACTAATTACATGCAAAGCGAAAATTTTGCCTCTCTTGAAGATGTCTATGAAATTCTTATTAAAAGAACGCATGACAGCATTACTTAGAATGGCTGGTCAAAAAGAGAGAGGAAAATTTGATAATTCTGTACACGGTTTCCCTGGAAAGAGTGATGAATATATAACAAAAACTACTTGTACATATCTATGAAGCGAATTTCTCCCACTTGGCACAAACATTAATACACGTATAAGGAAAAAGCATTTCTATAAACACATTATCATCATGATTACCTCTATATATAACAATGGACAGGACTATGTATAATGTTCTTTATATACGAGTTTGGTTCACATTTTTGATCTACGAAATCAAACTTCATGCCCCTGAAAATACAATTTTTATATTTTGTAGCTTTTAAATTTTATAAAAGACATTGTATTTAAACATAAAATATATTAAAAATCATATTAGAACATGATTTTCCTTGGTATTTACATGTACTATTGTTTGTTTACTTAACTATGAAGAGAGTTCATATTTCATAATAACGTTAACCTTACTAGGCTTTCGTACGTATGAGCTAATAGGAAGTCAACCACAGATAAGCACATCGAGTGCATGTTACTGTTTGGATTATTTTCTATTCCCTTTACAACATGGTTGTGTGAAATCGTTTGCAATGGCCTCTAAATCTACGACTACTGTTGACGATTCTGACAACAGAGTAGGTTTTGCTTTATTGCTGAGTTTCTTTTATGTAAATCATATACGGTACCAATTTAGATGCACCAGATGCGCATTTCGACAAATTATGTCTTTTATAAATAACCCAGCAATGGCCTCCTCGAAAACCTTCTGTGTTGTTGATTACTTTTGTTTCCATTACCGTTTGATAGACATTTAAAATAATTAGTTTTACTTTTTAATGAATAACTACAGTGCATGGATACGTAAGAATTATTTCGTATTACTTCTTTAATGAGTAAAAAACATTTCTAAACTTTTTAAAGGACAGAAACTCAACACAGAGGAACTTGGCTAAATTTAACATGCACTTAAACGAGTGTGCATGTACATGAACTATTGTACAATTCAATCGCTTGTTTCTTCTTGAAGTTTTCAGTCTTTTATATTGTGTATTTCTTTCGGAGATTGAAAGTGGTTAAGAAGTAGTTTAAGAGTCATTTGAAAAGTTTATACGAGAACCATGTTATCGTTATAATAAATCATAAGACTTTTACGAATTTTACCAAACTTTGGACATAACTTTTGAACGGTTGATGCTAGAGCTTTTAAATTTCACGTGTATTTCATGTGGTCAGACCTTTCTTTGGGTACCAACATTTTTTTTCCATTTTACTTTGACCTTGGAGTTTGACCTACTTTGAAAAACTTAACTTTTGTTAAAACGTTTGTTAGGCTTGTGCCAGGGCTTTCATTTAACACTTGTGTATTCCTTGTGACAAGACCTTTATTTGGATAAAACATTTTTGACCTCTCGACCTTTACTTGTGAGTTTGACCTACATAAGTAAAATCTTTATCCTTCTCTATATTTTTTGAACGATCGGTGTTAGAGCTTTCATATTTCAATTATGTATTCCTTGTGACAAGAACTTTTTTGAGTACCAATTTTTTTTAAACTCTTGACATTGACCTTAGAGTTTGACCCACATTTGATAACCCTTAACCTTGGCCTTGAGCTGCCATACGGGGGCATCAGTGTTTCCCAAATACATAATTTAAAAAAAAATCTACAATTTCTTCTGTAGAGAACACAACGACCAGAGTTAGAGAGGAGCAATTCTCTTGATCCAAAATGTTTGCAGAGAGCACCATCTTTCCAGACAATAACAGAATTTAAAGAAAGGGTCAAAGAATCAGAAGAAAGCAAGACAAATAGCAAAACCGAGCAAACTGTGAAAGAGGAATCCATGATGGAAAACCCTGATCTCGACGAGAAGGACAATGATACATCACAAGAATCAGCACAAGAAAATTCTGAAATAGGCAAATGCATTGAATGTGTGAAGGCCATCCCAGTATTTTCATCGGATGGAATTGAAGCTGGTGATCACGTGATCTTTAGTGGGGCAGTATACGACCATCATGGGATAATTATATCAAGATTAGACGATGGAGTAACTTTTGAAATCATAGAAGCAACAAATACATTCTCTGGAGTTGTCGTTGGGCTTTCAAAACTGTTTGGTGGAAAAGCCAAAATCCAATCCACTTTCAAAAAATTTGATTTTGAAAAAGAAAAGATATGTGTGGTAGAATACAGATATAGAAGATATTCGAAGAAAGAAACCATCCAACGTGCCATAAATATATATAATGATAAGGAAGAGAGCGTAAAATATAAATATGATCTCTTTGATAACAATTGTGAACATTTTGCTACGCACTGTGTTACAGGACAAAATTTCAGCGTACAAGTAACCAAGTTCAGATTGACGTGGAAATTGTTTTGGTCTAGAGGTTTTGTTGGGATAAGCAATGAACTAACAAGAAACGAAAAAGAGTTTGAAAACAAGATCATTTGCAAAGACTGTTATGAGATGAATAAAAAACTGCTTGCTGTCACATTGAGGCCTGTTGTTGGAGAACAGGATGTGGAAATGGGAGATATCATCCGATACTCCTACTATAATCTGTGGCATGAGGCAGTGGTTTTAGAAAAGAAAAGAACGACAGAGAAGTCAGTAGTGTGCACCATTGCTCATTACGCCTTCTGTGGAATCTTCTCCCATCGAACAATCAAGGAGGAGGAGTTGGAAATTTGTTATGACGGGAAATGCAGCAAACTGGAGTACACAGAGCCTTCCTATCATGTATATAACCCAGACAAAGTTGTGAAACGTGCGCGAACAAGATTGGGGGAACAAATGTTTGTTTTCTTTTCAAACGATTCCAGTCACTTTGCTAGATGGTGTAAACTGAAACTTACGCGAACTTAAAAGCTTGAGAATTATGTTCTTAACACACTTTACCTTTTCATTCATCATAGTCTACAAAATGTTTTGCAAGAAATGCTGGTAGTACGCTTGTATTGTATACATTTAAAATAAAAACGCATATAAAAAGAGACAAAATCTTCTTGTTCAATATAATGATATTTTTAATTTTTTATCGATTAATCATACTGTGGTACTGATCCGATAAAAAGAAATCATTACAATTTTAACATAAACCTATAAAATGTACACATACATGTAAAAAAAAAAAGGGGGGGGTTAAGACTGAGGGTTAAAGGTGGAATAGGCTGGAATCTATTATAAACCAAGGATGGGATAATTGAAAAAAATAATTGTAATTGAGAGTAATCAATTCAAAGTAATTGGAAGTTATTTATAATGAACAATTTTTAAATTACTTATAATTGTAATTTAATTAATAACACTGAAAAAATACCATGTAATTCCAATTTCTTTTCAATTACATTTCAGTTACTTTACATTAAACATATACATGTTATAACAGAAAAATATTTCCATCACAGTCATATTTTACAGTTCTTTTATTCATTAAAAACATCCTTCGTCCTTGTGTTTTTCAAAATCTTATGTTTACATGCTAATATATGATTTTCATAAATTGGCTTGTTTATAATAATATTTTTGCTTTATAATCATAACGCGTACATTTAGAATGAATACAAGTTTAATGTTTATCTAAAATGTGTGCTACCCTTCTATAGAGAGAGTGAGAGGGAGACAAGCAGTCAGGGTAAGACGTGTTTTTTACAGCTCCTGAATCTCTTATCTATACTTAGCTTTTACTATGGAATAATAAATAATTGATGATTCAATCTTTTCAGGTCACTTTTGAACTCATTTACTGGATTTTCAAGATCATTTATTGTAAATAATGATCTATCAACTGAATCTGTGAGACTAAGTTTAAATGTACCAAATTTATTGCAAGTTAAGGAAAATCAGAAGAGTTTCACAATAATTTTCAATCATTGGGGACAAGTACCCTATCATCTTGGATCTGCTAGAGAGGAAACTTCTACTCTTTAAAAACCGCGATGAAAAAAGACAAGGATCTTTTTATAAATCTCAGGATAAATCTGTCACAGTTACCATTTATGAGACAAAAAATACCCTACACATCCAAGGAGACTCGTATTACTCGTGGTATCAAGAGTTACTTAGGGATTTGAACAACTCGAATGGATACTTGGAGACAGGTACCCAAATAATTCCAAACAGGACAAAGCCAAAGGAAACATCAACAGAGGGACTTCATATTTCGTATCAGGGCTCCAGATATTTTTTTGCCTCAACGTGTATTTACTCCCTGATTTTCAAATCAATGCAGATTTTGCTTTTCAGCAAAATAATTAAAAAGTATTCTGTAAATCTATTGCTATTTTGACATCTAATGCAATTTTTTTTTTGAAATTTATTAATTAAGTTAATGAAATATATCTTAGGTTTTGGTATATAAATTGTTGGCATCGATCGAGGTAAAAGTTTTAGAGTTACTCCCCGTTTGCATTAAAAGTTCGTGTGGCGCTATTTATAGCAAAGGAGCCATATGGAAAGCAAATAAGCCATTATTTTCATACAATTAATAAAGGTTGTCGGCGGACTTTAGATGATATTATTGCTACAGAAAATGGTAAATATATAAGAACTGTTTAATAAACAGTGATAAAGGATAAACCAGACCCCATGCGTGTTTTGCGGAATTTTGAGAATATCGACGTGTACATGTGCGTGTCAAGAACCAAAATTTGGATGTTATATGAACAGTAGAAATCTGTGATATTTTCAGACAAAATTCGAGTATTTAATATTCAAATCTTTCTCCCGAACTGGAAATCGGCATAGGTTATTCGTTTATAAATCAGAATTTCCTGAGCTGACCTCAATTCACGTAATTAGTTAAATCGTACTTGTATCATTTAATCAGTGTAATGCTTATTTATGATGTCTAATGCATAATTGTACGCCCTGTTTTAATTTTTAATGTGTATTTTGAAAAATTCAATGCATATTTCTGTAAATACGCACCTTATCTGGAGCTCTGCTGTATTGTATTGTATTGTTTATTACCAAGAACCATACAGTTCATAGGTTTAAAGTATATACATAAATCAATTTGTACATTATATATATATAACATTTCATTATCATTTGTACATTAAGTAAAGCAGGATCATAGTAAAGGATCTTACATACTATTCATTCTTAGTTCACAAAGCAGACAAAAGCACAATAATATATATTAGTCCATAAAGCAGACAAAAGCACCATAATAAAAGTTGGTAATACATGTAGTAATAGTGAGGATAATCTCGTTATATCAATGTGAGTTAACTTGTACATTTATAAAGATATTTTCCTAGTTTACATAACTCTGTTACATTTTTTGTCGACAACAATTGAACAAGTTTAAAGTAGATGGTTTTTGGTGATAATATTTCTTAATATACTCTTTTCTAACATCGGAAAAAAACGGACAAACCAGAATAAAATGATACTCGTCTTCAACTTGTGACATTGAACAAAATTTGCACAATCTTTCTATTCTAGGAATATTAAAAAATCTCCCTCGTTCTATCTCTAGTTGGTGAGAAGATAGACGATATTGACTGATATGTTGTACATATTTTTGTGATATTGATTTTGTTAAATATAATTGTAAATTAAAACTATCGCTTAAATACCTATACAAAATACACTTAGGGGAAGCTTCAAAATTACTTCGTGCTTCTTGTATGAACATGTCATCCAATCTTTGTTTCACCTCAAACAAAAAAAGTTTTTCATTTAGGTAGTCTTTACAGTTCCATATATAACCAAAGCCTAAAGTATCAACAAAATCTTTTATATGTGACAGCCAACAAGGAAAAGTATTTGATTCACACACATCTAACATTTCTTGGTATATATTTTTAAAAATGCAATTATCACTATTTTTTAACTTTAACCAATACTTCAGCATTCTAATTTTTCTGTTCCATTGTAATGGTTTCCGACCTAGTTCAAAATAAACCATCATAGAGACAGTGCTTTTTTTTAACACTTAGTACTTTCTTACAAAAATCTGAGTGGATACTTTCTAATTCTCCTGCTGGGTGAAACCCCCAAACTTCACAACCATAATTTGCTATACTACTAATATATGTATCAAACAATGACAATTTAGTGCTTACATTCAAATGCATTGGTTTCATTTTTGTTATCAAAATACTTAAACTCTTTCTACATTGTGCTGCTAATACACTTTGTGTTTTATGAAATTTACCTTTATAATTCAAAGTAATTCCTAAGTAATTAAAATTTTCAACAATATCAATCAATTTGTTGTCATATTTCCAACAGTAATTTTTCTTCAATCTACCACCTTTTCTAAATACCACAATTTTAGTTTTATCCACATTAACCTTAAGTTTCAACTTTGTTGTATATTGCTGTAAACAATTAAGCATATCTTGTAAACCTTGTTCTGTCTCTGAGAAAAGTACAGTGTCATCTGCATACATTATCAAAAACATAGCAATATCTCTTATTTCTACGGGGATACACATATTTTCTATAAATTCCATTTCAAAATCATTAAAATTGGTGTACCAGGCCATAGTCAGTTTGACCTTAAAGTTCCACAATTTTTAGCAGTACTATGCCATATACCAGCGAGGCTTCAGATACCAAGATTTTTCCAATGTAAGCTGATCACACAAATTTCACGTGGGAAAAATCAGCTTGGAAGGAAACCAAGGGATAAATCTGTCCTGTCATTTGAAAATCGATATTACAAAAGATCCTTACTAGAGGATTGCATCCAACTGTACAGATCAGCACTAATGGAGGCGACCATCTCCAATATAAGAACGAAACTATCAAAAATGGATGTATCATCATATCACAGTATTATCATCCTGGCTGTAGGAAATGATGCATCAAGACGATGAGACGCATAAGCGATAGTACATGATTTCGCAGAAGTAATTGCAGATCTCCAAAATCGGAATCCCAAATGCCCGTGTGTTTATTTCAGAAGTGTTAGCAAGACGTGATACAGGTATCAGTGATATTAATGGAATTATTTAAAATATGCGTGAAATGTATGGTACAGTAATCCCAGCTTCAAAATTCTTTGGACATGGAAGGCCCAGGCAGGGATACTACTGGTAAGATGGGATCTATCCGTCAGAGGCACGACAGCACGACTGAAATTTTAGAATATTCACACTGAAATGCGAATATTCTGAAAATCGGTAATTTTCGAACAAATGTCAAAGATTCCTTCCGTTCAACCTTTTGCTACTTCTGTGAAGAAAGTGGACATATATCACGGCATTGCAGACATGGAAGAAAGCTGGACTGTTGGAACTGTGGGGAGCTAGGACACAAAATAACCAAGCTCCCTCCGCATGTCCATTAGGAGACAGGCAATGAATGTGTAGCCGTAACTAGTTCCCGAGCAATTATTAATAATAATATTTTTTTTCTTATTAGCTTATGTTCAGAATGCAATAAGGTCTATTATTCATGTCATGGCTATGGTGTTCTTTTGCATTTGTACAAAATTCTATTCTTAATTTAAATACATGTACTTCATCCAGTATTTCTAAATTCATAAATACTAACAGGAATCTTCATAGTACTCTTACCACCTAGAAGGTTTCACAATCTGATTATTCTACTTTAACTAATAATGACACTGTACCACGCAATAATGAATATGGTGTGATGAAAAAAAAGGCTTAAATAAAATTTGGACATCTTAAGGTATACCATCTAATGTACGAAATTAAAGAAATTAAAATGCTGCTCAAGAAAAGGGCAAACTCTTAATATTCTAAGACTTTGGAACCTTTTTGAATGATCAAATTAGTGATTCTGAGTTGTATATTGAGGGTTTTAATATGGAAAGAAAGGATCGCACTTTGAGTACAGGTGGTGGAATTGTAGTATATATTTCTTACCATGTAAAATACAAACATAGGTCTGATTTTTAAATCGGTTTTATTGAAACAATCTGGCTGGAATTAAAAACTAGTTTATTACTGTTCAGCATACCGTCCACC